AGGGTTTAGGGTTTGAGGCTTTTGCAGGGCATCGGAATGGAATATGCATTCCCTCGTCATGCCTGCACGTGGGCCGCAGCAGCTTGCATATGGCTTGTGGACCACGATCTGCAACCCTAAACCCTAAACCCCAAACCCTAAACCCTAAGAGCCTGGCTGAGGTGGAGCACTGCGGTACGCAAAGACAGACCCCAAGTCCAGTGCAGAGGGAGAGGGAGAGAGTTGCCCTCACTCAGCGGCCAAGCACATGCCATGTTTATGTAGGTACCGTGATTTCGGCATACGCTTCGATGAAGCTGTCTGCAATCCTTGACACTGCTCGGCATGCTGATTGTCAGAAGGGTTCCTGTGCATATTGCAATAACACATGGCTGAAGCGGAAAGCGCTCTATTCGCAGATCCCGTGGCGGGTGTTCTGTGCTAGCCTTTTGCCCAATGGCAAGAGCCCTGCAAGGTCAACGTGATGCAGCAAATAAAGCGGCAAAGTCGCCATCTCAGTTGCAACATGAGGGGGTTTTCGAAATTAGGGGTACCTTTACGGGGGTGCTTCTAAGGGGATCCTACTATTTGGGGGGGGTCTATTTTAGGGGTCCCCGATTATCGTAAACCCCCACATGATCCGGTTCACATGGACATGTCTGTGTTGCGGCTTCCCCGAGTTCCTTCCTGGGAGTCCGACCATACCCAAACCCTAGGCCCTAAACCCTAAACCCTCTCTACCTATGTATATTTAAACTTTAATGGGGCCGTGCTCCCGGTTTGGTCGTTTAGGATTTAGGATTTAGGATTTAGGATTTAGGGTTTAGGATGTAGGATTTAGGATTTAGGGTTTAGGGTTTAGGATTTAGGATTTAGGATTTAGTCCCGGGAGCCCCCCGGGACGCGTTGTTCCGGAGTCCCCCGGGACAGGTCCTGGGGTGTCCCGGGGCGACCACCCCGGACCCCTCCGGGACAGCTGTCCCGGCCCGGGACGCCCCAAGACATTGTCCCGAGGTATTAAAGACAGCATTTTTCATTCCGGGAGCAGGCAAATGCCGGGTTCCACACTTTTGGGGGGTTTTAGAAGCCTTTGGGGCTTTTTCAAGCTATTTGGGGCTGTGGTGGTGCTTTGGGGTAAACCAGACAGGGTCGATTTCAGTACTAAAAAACAGCATTTTTCCTAGCGGGACCAGGCAAATCCTGGGTTGCCCCCTTTCTGGACGCTTTTTGAAGCCTTTTCGGGCTTTTGAAAGCTATCCGTAGCTGTGGTGTGCTTTGTGGTAAAAGGGAGAGACCCGAAACCGTCGATTTCAGTACTAAGAAACAGCATTTTTCATGCGGGACCAAACAAATTCTGGGTTCCACCCCTTTGTTTGTATGTTTTTTTGAAGTTTTTTGCCGTCGATTTCAGTACTATAAAACAGCATGTTTCATTGCGGGGGGGGGGGGGGGCTTTTTGCAGCTTTCTGGGGCTTTTGAAAGCTATCTGGGGCTGTGGTGGTGCTTTGGGGTAAAGGGAAGGACCCCGAAACCGTCGATTTCAGTACTAAACAACATGAATTTTCATTGCAGGAGCAGGCACATCCTGAGTTTTTTGGGTGCTTTTTGAAGCCTTTTCGGGATGGGTTGGTGGTAGATGGCTGTGTTGCGAGCCGAATGAGAAAAATTGGTTGGTGATAAACAAATAGGTTAAGTAAAAGAGAAGAGAGAGAGATATATACAGATATATATATATATATAGCAGATGAAAAGGGATTCTGGGAGGGAGGGGTGATGCCAAACACGCTTAGTGAATGCTTGGACCAGAGATGCTGAACCCTAAAATCTAAACCCCAAACCCCCCTGAAGGCTGCCCCAAGAAAGACCCAGAACTAGCAGTACACCACAATGAGCGGGAGATTGTAGGACACTGGCTCAAAGAGGCTTCTTAAATGGGCAGTTCTGAGAGCAGCCAAGAAAAGGAGCATCAAGAAAGCTCTCAACATCCCCTTCTCTTGCGGCTCGCAGAGAAGCAAGCAGTGAAGTTGACGCAAACCTTGGTGCGCTCCGAAGGCATGGCTGTTCACCACCTGCTTGGCAAATGAACCGCTGGTGTTTCACCCATCTGCCGCAGCATTATGGCCCCGCTGCTTTGGTAGCATCATTGTTGGAGCTCAGCAACTGGCACGTAGGCTTGATGTCGGGGGATTGCATGAGCTTCAAGCTCCATGCTCTGTATGTTGTAAAGTCGCATGTCGTCGGTAGTTCGTCGGTGCAACATCCGGATAGAAGCTCCAGTGCTCTTTGTAGATGTACTGGTGCTTACCCCTACAACCAACGGGCGGCAAAAATGATCCTAAAACCTGAAAGCAAACGGTAACCTAAATTAAACCCCCAGCAGTTCATGAGGCTCCAAATTGAACTTTGCCGTGTGGCTTCAACGCGTAATCACTTGTACCCCACCCGCCACTTGTCCGCCAATGAGCACTCAGTACTTACTCCCTTTCTGAGTTTTAGACACGAACCGCAAACTCGATGAACCAGTTGAGCCCAACCCGGACAACTTGACCTTATAGGACCCCAAACAGTCACTCGAGCTAGAACAGCCCGGCAAGCATGACTTGATAGAGAGGGCCATATCAGAGGGGAGAGGGGATTGCTGCCAACAAGAAGGGACTATTCGAGTCTCTATATTGCGAGTCCTGAAAAAACCCTAAACCCCAACCCTAAACCCTAAACCCTAAGGCGGCAAATGACCCAAAGCCATTTTTCTCGTAAACTGCACTTGGGTACACCAAAAGGTCGAAGTTGCTGAGCTCCACACCTGTAGTGAGTTAATGCACCAGAGACTTTCACTGGGTTTTTGAGAAAGCTAAGTTGCAGCAATGCGGGTGTATATAGACACATCGGTAAAAAGACTATAAACAAGCAATGTTATATGTACATGTATATATATATATGTATAAACTTGTTGTCATCTTTCATGTTATATATATATACACAGACTGAAGTATACAACCCAGTTCACTTTGCTGCTTGCCGAAGGTTGGCCAGGCCATGTTGAACACAATCGGACCGCAGCTGCTGTTGACAAGCATCTGCCCAACGTTCAGGCAAGCAGCCCGAATATGAGAGCACCCACCAATATCTACCGTGCCCTCTCTCGACGCCAGATGCGTCAGATCCGCTATGCCAGATGGATAAAAAGTGCGCGGAACGGTCTGGCCTCGTGAAAAGAGGGTCCGACAAGGAACCTACAAGCTTGTCATGATGCTTCATTACCGCAAGAACGCATAGACCTCGCCCCTACACTCTGAAAACTAGGTCCGAAATGACGCATATCATTTTGGCGGCAGGTTAAGTGAGGGCCCTGAAACCAGCGACCGAACAGGAATTGCGTTGTCACGCGATGAAGCAATGCCTTGTAGTGGCCGGCAGGAGCTACGAAACTTAAGTTTTCGGCGTGTCAGTAGGTGATCTGACCTGGCGGAACGTACTTCACTTTGACTTGCCAACATTCAGTCCAACGAAGTCTTGAAACCTCAGGCTCGGTTTAGAGCGTTTCTCGACTGAGCTCAGGCAAGTACCCTTGATTGGTTGGAGCAAATCGGAGGTCACGACTTTCTTTGTGGTGAGAAAAGCACAGAACATGTGCGAGCCGAACTTGTTAGGCAGGGGACTTCGCCAAATTTAGCAACCTTGACCGATGTTGATGTGCTCATCCAGAAATAACAAGTCAGCGCGATTCTTGCTTCAAGCCCAAACTGAAGGGCGGGCAGGGGGAGGCCCAAGTGCACACTGTGCTTTTCAGAAACAGGGGGTCAACCATCGGTTGCATGGTCCTTGTTCTGCTTGCGACAAGGCTGCGCATACTTGGGACATGCTTGTAGCGATCTGCCCTAGCCCCCGTGGTTCTTAGTAGGGAATGAGGGAATGAGGTACCCTAAATATACCTCATTCCCTCATTCCCGACTAAGAACCAGCCAGTAGCCCGGGCTTGCAAGGCAAACGGCATGTTTCTAGACCTTGGCAATGGAAAAGCCAAGCAAGCCCTGCAGATGAGAGTTCCATGTGGCTTCAACTCCGGACGGTCAGCCCTAAACCCTGAACCCTGAACCCTGAACCCTAAACCCTAAACCCTAAACCCTAAACCCTAAACCCTCTCCTGCGTGCATGCCTGCAGCGCCTCATTGACATCAAGCATTTGGCCTGCGGCTGGTAGTTTCCCAGGAGCAGGCCCCTGGTGAGTCAAGGTCTGGTTGTTGTTTGACCTTGACCTTCGCCGCATGCCTTCTTCACTTTAATATACTAGTTTACTAATCTATTAATTTACTAATCTACTGATATACTCATATGCGAATATAGAAGATAGCTACTGATATACTCATAGACGAATATAGAAGATAAGAAGACTAATGCACTACTACACTAGTATAAGAATTATGAAGAAATCTTAATATCTTACTATGACAATATAACGATGATATAGCAGCATAATCGTATAAGAATATATAAGCTGAATACCGGACACCGCGGTTCTCGCAGAAGGGTCTCGGGAAATGGAAAGGTGCGCTCGCTTGGCATGTTAAACATTCCCGAAAGACCCTTTGACCCGAACCCCAAATTACTGGGCTCAAAACACAAACCCAGCCCGCAAACTCCTCGCGACCCCCCGCCGCTGAGCCTGCCGTAACACCCTTCATGCCCAACCCCGAACGCTGTGTGATTTTGCTGTTTTCCCCCCCTCACCCCCTCTTCAACCTAGTTCCCAGCTCGCAGGCCTGCAGGCCCAAAGGATTTTTCTTTCGTTGTGGAAAAGATGGTAGGTCGGCAGTTGTCCCACAACAAGAGAGCCCCTTGTTGAAAAGGCCACCCAACCCTCAAGCCCCTCGATAGGGGATGGAGGGAGGGGAAGGAGGGCCCCGCCCCCTGTCTACTCCAGACTAGATTGGAGGGTGGGTGTCCTCAGAAGTTTTACAGCTTGCCTTCCACACTTCCAGTGAGCCTCCCGCGCCTCGCGCCTTGCGCGGCTCAGCTTTGACATGGAGGCGGGAGCAGCACATCTCCTGGTGGAGACGGAGCAGCTGGAGGCACTCGGCCCCGCCTTTCTACTAGAGGTAAGACTTGACGAACCTTGGGCACCAAATGAAAATGAAATTAAGGGGGGGTTTTGGGGTTCATATACCTGAACAACAGGAATTAGTTTTTTGGCGTTCATTTACCACAATCTTTTGGAATTGTAGTTATAGTAGTATACATGACCCCAGTTTTCAGGGTTCATCTTCCAAGGAGGGTGCAGGCTCTCTGCCCGATGCCGACGTTGCGATTCACCCCTCCTATCTGGAAGCTGGCTGCGATGAGAGCCGATACTACCCGCACTACGAGCGGCCAGAGCCTTGGGGACCAAACAAACCCTAAAATTGGGGGGTCATATACCCTAGACCACTATACAATCCCTATTAAAAGTATATGAACCATAGACCCGTTTAGGGCTCATGTCGTCCTTAAGGAGCACGGCAACCTTCTGCCTCTGCCGGAGCTGCAGAATCTGGGCGTTTTTTTTTTCAAGAAAGAGCCAGAGACGTTCGAAGTCTAGCTTCGGCTTGGAACAACCAGCCTTTAACTTTGCGCGTGCCTTCATATATATATATATACATGCTATATATATATATATATATATATGCTATATCCTGTATATATATATATATCTATATATATATATGTGGCTTAAGGAAGGCGATCGCTGCCCTTGGAATCTCAGGGGAACGGCTCGTCGTGGTCTACGGAACCGGGGACTACCATGCCATGATCGCCTGCCGTGTGCTCTGGGGCCTTCTCGTGGCGGGCGTGCCAGATGTTAGGCTGCTCAACGGGGGCCTGCAGGCAGGGGAAAGGGGCGAAGACCCAAAGTAAAGCAGAAACATGTAGTAGAACCCTTTCTGCTTCGTTCTTGGGGCTCTCTGGGCTCCCCCGAGGCCTGGAGGGCCGCAGGCAAGCCCATCAAGGATGGAATGGAGCGCATCGGGCTCCGGCGGCCCGCGCCCCAGGTAGGCGGGGAGCCGCCACGCTGGGCGCCGCGGCTCGAGTTCGTGGCCACCACGGCAGAGGCCTGGGAATCCCAATGCATCTTGTAAGGCGCCTGCGCAAACTGACCCGTAGAGCTGCTGTTTTTTATCTGCATCTGCCTTGCACAAGCTCTGGAGGTGGAGGAAGTGCAGCGCAGCCCGGAGAGCGCCCAGGTGCTGGACATACGCAGAGACTACATCCCCCCTGGGAATTATTTCTTATTTTTGTTTATATAAAAAAACCCAAGAGGATATTAAAAAACCAATTATTTGTTATTAAGGTTCTAAGGGGAGTAAAGGAGAAGGAGAGTTCAACGGAACCATCACCGATGTCTACACCTTCTTCGCCGTGGCTGGGCACGTGCCCAAGTCCACCTGGATCGAGAACTGGGACCAGCTGGTGGAAGAGGATGGGCGCCTCGTAGCTCGGTAGGGTTTTGGGACATCTTGGAACATCTCGTATTTTCCTTATAGGGCTTAAGAATGTTTAAGAGAATCATATTCATGAATATTTTTCCGAGGGTTCTAAGAGGGCGCCATCCTATAGGTAGATCCCAGCAAGCTGGCCGTGAAGTGGCGCGAGAGCTTTGGTGTGAGAGACGGGGTGCGCCTGATCATGCTCTGCGGCACGGGATGGCGGAGCACCATCGCCTGGCTCCTGGCGCGCCTCATGGGCCGTGCGGCCGCCAACTACGACGACGGCTTCTACGGATGGACCTTTACGGGTGAGAGGCCCATCGAACCGAAGCCGGCCCCATCGCCCTCCGAGGACATCCCCGACGGACCTTCAAAGTAGGTGACCAAGCCCAGACAAAAAAGGATAAAAAAAGTTGCGCCGTCTTTCTAGAGCGAACTAAATGGGCACCAGGGTGCAACATACATACAAAAGCAGAAGCCGAACTACAAGTATACTGTATCCATGAAACGCCTGCTGCACTTGGTTTTCATTGCGACTGGGGCTTGTCTGGTTAGGACTGTGATGCTGTGTGCATCACGTTTTGACTGCGCTATCCATGTTGCTTCTTAGCTCCGGCACGTAACGTAATGCTTTGGTTCTCCTTCGCTTTCAAACGAAGCTCCCACATGAAGTATATGTCGTCGCCAGGCAGAAAATCTCTGTCGCACAAGGGCACAGCAGCTCTCAGCACGTTGGCGTGCTTTCTTGCTTTTAACGAGGCACGCAGCTCATCGCCATGTTTGCGGGCAGATGGGCTCCCAATCCCAATTCCTTCATTCCAGTTTCGGCTCGATGGCCATGTTGGCCTTCCGGGCTCTTGGGAAGTTCGGGAATCTTGGTAGCCCAGTGGTACCCTTTTCCCCCTTTCTTTCTGTTCAAGGTACCCTTATGAATTAACCCAACCAAAAAAAGGGGTGCCCCCTTATTATGATATGGTTACTAGGGTACCAAGGAATGCAGCTGTCCCTGTCACCCCGTGACCTGGGCTGGCTCAACTGGGAGCCGGACTCCGGGCCTGGGCCACGGGCGAAGCGGGCGGTGTAGGAGAGCACACTTGGAGGTTCATGGTTAGTATTAATCAACTATGTAACTGTAGTAGGTGTTCTTATCACTTAAAGAACCAGAAAACAACTATAAACTGTACTTAGAATTGCTTAATGAGCTACAATGAGCCTCCAAGCAAGGGCCCTAAAATTCTCGGCGACGAGGCCCGCCTCCGCGCCACGCCCGCGGAGCCTCGCACGCAGCCTGGCGCGGCAGAGGCGCGCGCCAGACTGTGCTTTGTTGTTGTTCCTTGCCGCGACTTCCCGCGTTGAGGGATCCTATAGGTCTTGGGCCCCCTAAACCCTAAACCCTAAACCCTAAACCCTAAACCCTAAACCCTAAACCCTCGTTCGGAGGTGCCCGCCTGCCAAGCATCCGGAGGAGCAGAAGCGGGTCCACTCCAGGTGGCTTTCGAGCCAGCAGTGGGGCTCAGATGTGGGCCACGGGGGACCCGAACGGTGAAATCAAAAGCTGCGCGTCATCCTTTGCTGTTTGCTCGGCCCTTCAGCCGTTTCTGTGAGCTAGAAACCAGGTGCCCTCCAATTGCATAGCCTTTGGGCCAGAGACATGCAGGCGACCTGCACAAGGCAGTTGATGGCCAAAGGGACCCTAAATTGGGGTCAAGTCATATATATCCTAGATTAAACATAATTCCTCTGAAGGAAACCTGAACCATAGAAACCCTTTTTAAAGTTGATTATTTTCCCCGTTGTGTGGGCGCCGGGTTGTTCAAATGGCTGCGCCGGCTGTCGGATCGAATGGCTGTCCAGGCAGGGGAGCTGTTTGCCTACTGTCAGCTTCGAAGCTGATCGCCTGTTGTGTTCGCCTTTTTGGGTAGCTGCACCTTTATTTAGATTATGTGGTCTGACCTTTGTATACATATGTATATACATAGCATTATTTATATATTGTAGATTATACATCAAAAATTGTATTAAGTTAAGATTAATTAGATTAACTAAATTAATTACATCATATGCTGAACTTGTACTCTTTTTCAGGATCCCAGGGTCTTCCCGCCGAAAAGCCGCGGCACCCTGCCAGGGGTCAGGGCGTCAGGGCCTGGGCTGCGCACACGAGAAGTTCTTTTGGTGTACATGTCATCCAACTGAGTTGGGGTGTAGGGCTGAGGCTTCGGATTTTGGGTTGATTCGGGTTCGAGACGAAAGATGCCAGAACGAGACAGCACATTACCACATGCTGCTCAGTGCGTTATTGAGATGAAGCCAGCCCTCCCTGAGTTCACCACGTTCATTCTTAAAGTTGCAATCAGGTGGACATGCTGAAAAAATCGAATTCTGGGCTTGGGCCATCTTTGACAAGAGAAAGCAGAATATGCCAGATTGGGGGGCCCTTGTGCCCTTTTGTTTCGTTCAAGGTTCCCTTGTAAAGAAACCAAGCCAAAAAACAGTTACCCTTATTGTAACATTGTTGCTGGGCTGCCAAGTTATAGAACATCCTCCTGCGCATTGAAAAGTGACACGTGTAAGCCAGGTTTGCACGAAAGCACCATGGGCAGCGAACTCAAACAGCTGAGACACAGCTCGGCAAGGGTGAAGGTGATCGTGTCATTGCTCGCTCCGTCCAAAAGCTGGTCGTGAAGTAGGTGACCCATGGTTCTTCGTAGAATTTACCATGCTCAAGTGGGCCTAAACCCTAAAGCCCTAAACCCTAAACCCTAAACCTCTCAAACCTACACCCTAACCTCTCAAACCTAAACCCTAAACCATAAATGGGCTTGGATCTGCTTGAGAGCACCTCTCTTTTTTCCAGACGCGGGCCGCAGCCCCACTTGGGAGGCCACCTGAAGAACGTGCACCGATGTTTCACAGAGCTTTCCGTCGGAGCCCTGGTTTCTCTTGTGCGAAGTTGGGGTGCATTCTGCAATTATAAGTCTGCCCCAAAAACCATGGTAGTTTATGGAATGAGGTGCTCAAAAAACCATACTAACGTATGGAATTTGGGTACCCCCCACGAAAACCATACTAATTTATGGATGTAGGTGCCCAAAGACCATACTAGTTTATGGAGTTCGGTACCCCAAAAACCATACTAAACAGGGTTTCGGGGTACCTAATTCCACAGCTGTACTACAAATGAATCCCCTCAAATAAGTGGGACTCCAACTTACGGGGAAAACCCACCTTCAGAGCCCCTGGCGAGCCGTTTTTTTGGCTTTCTGTTCGCAGCACCCTCCCTCATGCGCGCACGTTCTGGACACTACATGCTAGCAATTTCAAGGCTGCTCAGGATAAGACCCCGATCCATCGACTTCAGCCTGTTCAGGGTTTAGGGTTTAGGGGCGTAGAAACGCAGACGTCGGCCAATGGACCCATGCAGCCATGTCGCCGAAGCAGCGGCCAGTGACGTGCGCCACAAGCTGGATCAGCTGCTGCTGTCCGCATGCCGGGCGGTCCTTCCTCTCGAGCAGGCACAGGATGCACCAGTCATCGACTAGTTGCTTAAGAGCCCCCCAAAAAAGCAGAAGAACAACATGATCACCTTTTTGCTCTTATAGGGAAGAGTCTCTCTCTTTTTTTTGGGGGGGGTGGGTGGGGGTGGGTGGGTTCTTAAGCAAACGCTCGTCATGCGTGTGATTCTGCCATGCTGCATTTTCTTGGCCTGCCGTGGCATTGAGGCCGAGGTGGTGCTGGAGAACGGAGAAGGAGCCAAGCCTGCATTGTCCTGCTAAATGGCCCTATAAGCCCTAAACCTTAAAAACCCTAGAGCCCTAAAACCATCAAGCCATCTAACACCCTAAACCCCTAAAACCCTAAAACCCTAAACCGCAAAAAAAATCCTAAAAACCCCTAAAGCCCTACAAATCCTAAAAGCCCTATAAGGCGTCCGCTCCGCTCCCGAAGCCGGCTTCTGCTGCCGCGCAGCCCGGACGGCCTTCCACAGGAGCGAGCACAGAGTAGCGGGTCCTTCACTCCTTGGGTGCCGGGTGGGTTTAGGGTTTAGGGTTTAGGGTTTAGGGTTCAGGGTTTAGGGTTTAGGGTTTAGGGTATAGGGTTTAGGGTTTAGGGTTTATAGGGTTCAAGTAAACCTTGTGGGGGGTAGTCTGAACACCCCTTAAACCCCAGAAGTGAACCATTCTTACCCAAAATAACTCAAGACCTAAGTAAGTTCACCTCCTTTTTTGTAGATTTTCGGGGTTTTGGGTTTTTTGGGGTTTAGGGTTCGCAAGCCCGCTGCAAAAGGGTTTAATGGTTACACTGTATGTATAGCATACGGGAACGCGTTGTAGAATAATCTATACCCCAAGCACATTCTAATCAAGTGCTATATAACTATATTGAGTACGACACAATAACCCTATATGATCACTCAATCTACCCAAAACACCCCAAACCCTATAAACCTCTAAAAAAACCCTAAACCCTAAACCCTAAACCCAATACCCAAAAAACCCTAAACCCGAACTGTTCCCGAGTGGAGGTTGCGTCGGGGAGCCGTGGGGCCCGTGAGCTACGAGATCCCATGCCCCGCCCTAGGCCGGCAGGGTGGCCTTGGGGTTTAGGGTTTAGGTTTATAGGGTTTAGGGTTTAGGGTTTAGGTTTTGGCCATGATATAGGGGGCGGTTCGAGTTAAGGGTCCCCTTTTGGGGCAATTGAGCCTCAAGGAGAAGTTTTACGGCATATCCATCTATGGCGGGGGGGGGAGGGGGGGGATGGCCTACACTAGAACATTCTCTCGTTCCCATCATCTTTGAACCATCTTCCATCTCTTCGTGCTATAAGAGGCGGGCTGCCCAAGAGGTGGACCTTTGAGGATTCGCCTGCGCTGGCGCGGAGCCTATCTTCATAATGCAGGATGGGATCGTAAATTGGTGGACGTCTTGCGTTGCTGGAAGACTGCTGTGCCGGCTCGCCATAGATCGCCGCATGGTGTGCGGTCCTGCTGTTTGGAATTCTTGGAGAGCCGAAACGTGCCTTGCAGACCCAAGGAACATTGCACAAAACAAAACGGGCCTGAGCCTGCTGAGTTGTTGTTAGCCCTACGGTCATGTGGTGCGATGTGCCGAGCCACAAACAACAGACATACTGTGACACACCTCAAAAGGGAACGCACAGCCAAGAAAAGAAAGCGTGCCCGTGCGGACACCCAAACGAGAAATACGACCTGCAGACACTAGCGATCGCGCAGCAGTGGGAAATGAACTTTGGCACCCTTGATGTTCTTCAGAGCAACATGACATGTATGTGACACCCAGTGTATTCCTTCGACGTGTCGGTTGCGTCTTTTTTTGGATCATGATGCGGCATCCTCCGGCATGGCACGTCCTGTGTATGCCAGAGTATGTCACACCCTTTGTTTTCAGATCAACATAACATGGCCTCCTTTGTGGCGCATCCGCGTTTGTCATGCCCGGTGTGCCCTGTCTATTCCTCAGATGTGCATGTCTCGCGCTAGAATGAACGACATGACAAGGCCTCCTATGGCCTCCTCGGCGTATGTCACGCTATGGCTAGCCCACAGATCTCTGCGATCTGTGCGTAGGGACTGGCAGGTGTTCTTCGATTCACGAGAAGGCTGCTACGAGCTGTTCGCTGGCAATTTTCGGATGAATGTGAAACTCATATGTTTGTTGTTTCTTCAAACTCCTGCAAAAAGAGAACACGGAATGTATATGGGGCACATGGCGCCTTCCTGCAGTCTGCAGTGACGTCGTTCACCTAAGAGATTGCTGACCGTATGTCCTCGGTTCTCAGCTCCAAGGCGGAAGCTTTGCTGGAGAATCTGCCAGAAACAGCCTCGCTTCTCCTTGCTCATGCGCGGGGCCTTTGAGAAGGAGGGATGTGGAGGTTGTGGAGTGCATACGAAGTTGGTTGGAGTGCAAAAGTGCAAAGCACACGTCTTCTTAGGCACGCGTCACTGCCTTGGGGGAGATCGTCTTCTTGACCAAGGAGTCTGCGAGAGAGATCGAGAGAGCGCAAGCACGCCGAGTCCAGGGTGACTTCGTTGACAGGAGCAGATGGCTGGGCAGCAGCGGAAAGGACTGCTAAGTGCAAAGCTAGTTTAAGTGCACTGAGGCACATTGGGTGCACGAAGGGCAGTGCGAGAGAATGCGAGGACAGCTGCTTTGCCCCGACTGCGGTCACTTCTTCGCAGGGGAACGCGGCCTGCAGGCCTTGCTAGCAATATTATGGGAGAGTCGAATGGGATGCATGGATGCACATGACGTCAATCAAAGAACGACGACAGAGAATGCTAGACAAGAACTTGGCTGGCTTTGGACAGGACCACCAGCGCCAGAAGCACAGCAAGGCTCTTTCCACCACTGCTTGCCGACGAGTTATGATGAACTAGCACTCTGTTTAGGGTTTATAGGGCTTAGGACTTAAAATGCCCGTGGCAGCAGGGTTCAAGGTTTAGGGTTTAGGGTCTATAGGGGAACTCTCGCAGAGGCCGTGACGGACGCCTTAGACGTGGTCCATTGGAGCCGCCTACAGCTGGTGCCGAGGGCACCATCGCCAACGCCAAAGGCGGTGCCCAAGACGGGCGCCAAAGGGGCAGGCCGCCAGCAGATCTGCCCTTCTCCTGCTGCTGTGGGGTTCTCTGGGGCTGGTGTGAGAGGCCCCCTGGACCCCGGCTTGCGTGTGGGCCTGAGATGTAGGAGCCCAAGTTGGCTAGGAGGTCGGTGCACTCTGGGGCTTCTGAGGCGCCGCGTCAGCCGGGAACTCGGAGGCTCTGGCGGCGTTGCTCCGCGCTGGCTGGGACTTACAAACGCGGGACCCGCATGGCTCGAATGCGCTCCTCTGGGCCGCAGGCGCAACGCGGCGAGTTATTGTGGGTTTTTGCCATGGCGCGCCGTGGCAGGTGGGGGCCACTTGGAGACGTGCCAGCTCCTGGTGAAGCAGGCAAGGCGGCAAGACGCGAGACATGCTGCAGTCATGTCTTAAACCCTAAACCCTAAACCCTAAACCACTGCATGTATAGATCATGCAATTAAGAGCAAGCCCCAGCATGTCATGGTCGCAACGGGCGTTTGCAGGGCTTGGACCCCATGTCCCGGCAGAAGGACCACCGCACAGCACTCCATTGGGTGGGAGCCCCAGTTCAACGGACGGCTCCAGCAAATAAGCACAGCGAGGGTTTAGGGTTTGGGGTTTAGGGTTTCGGGTTTAGGGTTATAGTCATTCTAAGAATCGCAATATTTTCTGTAAGGATGCTCATATAATTCGAAATCATAATCCGCTTGTTTTTGAGGCCGCACGAAATGGCCGCCTGAGCCAGGGCCACAGAGTCCTTGCGCCACACACCACGGCATGTGCCCATGTAGACAACATGTGCATTCCGATCTGACCGCCCCTTTCATGCTGAGGATGCAAGAGCCATCAAGAGCCCCCAATCATGCCCCAAACCCGCAGTGATGGGCACGGAAGCCTTCAGCCGCAAACCCTACGATCCCCTGTGTCTAAGAATCTCTGCGACTTGTCGATGCACAAACCTTGAAAATCCCGAGGGCCTGCGACCTCCACATCCCAATGCGCCTCAACCATGATTCATGGAACTCTTTAACATAGGAATGGAATAAGCCGCTCCCTGTACACAAGCCCTCTCCCCTCCATTCAGCACACCCTCAGGGGCCTTAGCATTGTGCGCGGGTTGTAGAGGCGTGTGCCGGTGGCTCGTCGAGGCAAGGTCGCGCCGAAAGCTGTTCCAGTCATTCCAGCTGCTATCGGTATCGATTCTTTTCTGTTCAAGCCGTTGAATGTGCGAACCGAGATGCAACGCTAAAGGGCAGAAACCTTTGTTGCAGCCTTGGGCAGGTTTTGCAGGGCACTTTGTAGCTCCGTCGACCAGGTATGTGGACTTCGTCCTGACGACCCCACATTGGATGGCACAGTGCCGTGGGGCCCTCTGCATGCCTTTCACAAGAGTTTTCACAAGCACGACTGCTAAGAATTTCCCTTTTGCTGTCAGGCTGCATTGGGCGGTCTGGCAGGGTCATGAGGAGTCACGAGCACCATGGGTTTTTTGTTCCCAACAGCACATACTGTTGGGTTTCAGTCTCTAAAGAAAAGAGGCCTGGATCAAACTCTTTGCGGCCGGCCAAAACGGGAGGAAGACGGAAAATTCCGGAAATGATGGAATATGAATGACGGAAACTTTCGGACATGATGGGATGTGAAGGACGGCAAAATCCGGAAATGGTGGAATATGAATGATGGAAACTTTCGGGAAATGAGGGAACGTAAAAGACGGAAAAATCGGAAATGGTGGAATATGAAAGACGGAAATTTCCGGAACTGACGGGACATGAAGGACCGCAAAAACCGGAAATGGTATAATATGAATGACGGACATTTCCCAGCAGCACATACTGTCCCATGCATGTGCGCAACCGTGAAACAAGCGACAATCCGTTGCTCAACAACATCAAGCCACATAACGCCCAAACCCGCAAGCAATGCAGCACCAAAGGGGTCAAGCTTTGCTGTCCCAAACCAGACACAACACCCCAAACCCAAAGCAATGCAGCACCAAAGGGGTCAAGCCTCGATGTCCCAAACCAGTCGACATAACGCCCAAACCCCCAGAGCAATGCAGCACCAAAGGGGTCAAGCCTCGATGTCCCAAACCAGTCGAGAGAACACCCAAAACCCAAAGCAATGCAGTACTAACGGGGTCAAGCCTCGATGTCCCAAACCAGTCGACACAACACCCAAAACCCAAAGCAATGCAGCACCAAAGGGGTCAAGCTTTGCTGTCCCAAACCAGACACAACACCCCAAACCCAAAGCAATGCAGCACCAAAGGGGTCAAGCCTCGATGTCCCAAACCAGCCGACATAACACCCAAAACCCAGAGCAATGCAGCACCAAAGAGGGTCAAGCCTCGATGTCCCAAACCAGTCTTCACAACGCCCAAACCCCCAGAGCAACGCAGTGTCCCAAACCAGTCGACATAACACCCAACACCCAAAGCAATGCAGCACCAAAGGGGTCAAGCCTCGATGTCCCAAACCAGCCTTCACAACGCCCAAACCCCCAGAGCAATGCAGCACCAAAGAGGTCAAGCCTCGATGTCCAAAGCCCTTCGACACCACACCCAAACCCGCGAAGCAATGCAGCACCAAAGGGGTCAAACCTCGATGTCCCAAACCTGTCGATACAACACCCAAACCCGCAAAGCGATGCAGCAGCAAGGGGGTCAAGCACCGATGTTCCAAACTTGTCGACACAACACCCAAACCCCCAGAGCAATACAGCACCAAAGGGGTCAAGCCTCAATGTCCCAAACCCGTCGACACAACACCCAAACCCGCAAAGCAATGCAGCACCAAAGGGGTCAAGCCTCGATGTCTAAAAACCGCCGACGCGACATCCAAACCTGCGAAGCAATGCAGCACCAAAGGGGTCAAGACTCGATGTCCCAAACCCTTCCACACAACACCGGACCGAACCCCCCAAAACAACGCAGCACCAAAGGGGTTAAGCCGTCCCAAACCAGTTGACATAACACCCAAAACCCAGAGCAACGCAGCACCAAGGGGGTCAAGCCTCGATGTCCCAAACAAGTCGACATAACACCCAAAACCCAGAGCAATGCAGCACGACAGGGCTCAAGCCTCGATGCCCCAAACCCGCCGACACAACACACAAACCCCCAAAGTAATGCAGCCGTTGCGGTGGGCCGGCTCTTGGAAGTTGACCTATCATGGTGGTTGCATGGCTCTTGGAAGTGTACGCGACATGGTTGCTTGGTTGTTGGAAGTGCCGTCGCGTGTTGGTTTTTGGAAGTGCCGTCGCGTGTCGTGGTCGTGGTTGCGTGGTCAAGATGTGCTGTTGGGTCTTAGAATGGGCTAATGGGTCAAGTTTTTTGAAGCGCCGGCAGGATGTTTGCTCTTGGTTGGTCCACGAGGCCCCGATCGACGAGTCGCTGGCAGATGCTTCGGGAACTGCAATATCCAAGTCGTCTGTCGGCCTCAGGCCCGTGCCAATCTGCATGCCAAAAACAAGAACTTTGGCTGCATTTCGCACATTACCTCACTTTGCCTCAGCCAGTTGATCACGAATAACATCGGAAAACCCTAGGTATGGCTGCAACGCGTCGCAGTGGGCTGCCCTGGCCGGCTCCGTGAAGATGTGCCGTTGGCTACAGCACGAAGGCACCCACGTTTCAGCCCGCAGCGACTTTGCATACATATACATATATACATATACATATACATATACATATATATATGTTGTTTATACACAGATATATACATCATACACATACACAAATACAAATCGACATATGTGTACACATCAGAGAATGTACATAGTATGTCTACTGCCATCTTACATGTTAAACTATCGACATTGTACAGTGTTTTTGCCAGAAGAATCCTTCATAGAACAGGACTCACTCAAAGGGAACCCAGTTCCGAAAGAAAAGAGAGAAAGCCTCCACCCCCAACTTGACGCCTCTAGCAACCCTAGTTTCAGAGCCTTGATGGCTCCAATGAGCGTTGGAACCCTAAACAGTAAACCCAAGCCAATAACTCCCTCGCACTAAGCCCTAAGCCCTAGGAGCGATGAAAAACTAAACCCTTAAAACTGAAAATCCTGAAACCATCAAACAACCCTAAAAACCCCAAATCAACCGCTACGCAAGACCCTCGAGGATGGCACGGCAGAGAGAGAGAGAGAGAGAGAGAGAGAACCCCAAACAAACGGACCAATGGACGATGCGCGCCCTTCGGGGCGGCCTTCTCTCTCGGGGGGGGGCATGCGTGCAGATAGAGAGAGAGAGAGAGAACCCCAAAAATCCACAAAGCCCTTAAAAGCCCCAAGCCTTCTTGAGCCAGGCTTGGACCTCAAGGTACCCTAAAAACCCAAAATTAAGTCAACCCAACCAAACCCAAAAGCCCTTAAAAGCCCTATGCCTTCTTGCAAGCCAGGCTTGGACCTCAAGGTCAAAAACTAACAACCCTTAAAAGCCCTAAAAAGGCCCTTAAGAGCCCTTAAAAGCCTTCTTGCAAGCCAGGCCTGGACCTCAAGGTGCTGAACCTCAACGGCCACTCGGCCCTCCACAAGGCAGCGGTCAAGGGCCGCTGGGACTGCTGCACCTGGCTGCTGCGCCAGGCGCCCCGGTTCAGGGTTCAGGGTTTTAGGGTTTCAGGGTTTCAGGGTTTCAGGGTTTCAGGGTTTCAGGGTTCAGGGTTTCAGGGTTTAGGGTTTCAGGGTGCAGGATTTCAGGGTTTAGGGTTTCAGGTTTAGGATTTAGGGTTAGTAATTCGTCCGCAGAACCAAAACGAAATTATTCAACTGTGCGTGCTGCTAGCAAACTGGGTTGATGCACTGAGGGGTGCCAGGGCCTGCTGTTACACTGCATTGAGATTCCAGAGATAGGTGGCTGAATTGGAGAGTGTCCGTCCTCCGTGCAGGACATGGATGATGGAGGAGGCAGGATCACTGGAAGCCGCAAGACCTGAACCCGACAACACGTATCAAATTGCAAGACTTTCAAGAGGCTTCCGAATCTAAGCCCTAAGAACCCACCATGTTTCGTCAATAAAAGTAGGTATACACATACAAATATACAAAAAGCAAATTGAAAAAACTATAAATAGAGAATGTAAATATAAATATGAACAAATAAACCAGAAATATATATATATATATATATTATGTGTACACATAATATCATGCAAAACGAAACGCAATACCATAAGTAATACGTGCACCCTAAATCCTAAACCCGTGGTTCGCTGCTTGGCAGGTAGCCACAAAAACGAAACAACACCCGAAAAACGCGCACCAAAACCCCAAAAGCAAACATGATAACAATGCAACAAAAAATGCATAATAAAGAAAAAGCTGCAAGAGGCTTGGGCCTGGAGCAGCTGGGGCCCGACAGGGACGGGAACCGGCCCAGCACCATGGCCCCAGCCTCGGAAGAGAAGAGTCGAAGAAGACCCATTGGTTCTTAGGGTTTAGGGTTTAGGGTTTAGGGGGGAATGGGCCCTATGGTGTATAGGGTTAGGGCCCTACTATATACCCTTTAAGGGATTATAGTATATAGGGTTCGGGCCCTTAGTAGGGAATGAGCCTATTTTGTACCCTTTAAGGGATTATGGGGTATCTTTGTTGCCGGGGGTGAGTAAATAAAAAGAGGGGATGCCGGAATGTCCTTGGCCAGCAAGTTCACGTGTAGCACGGTTTTTCTTGGTATTCACGGCTTGGGGTCTTTCATGGTTGGAGGGTTTGGTTGTCCCATTTACTTTGGGAGTTAAGGGCTTTTGGGTTTTTTTGGGGGGGTTTGCAGGGTTGGGCGGGCTCCAGGGGTTGAGAGAGGTTGTGAGAACACGCCAGGGTTTAGGGGCGCAGGCATGTCTTCCTTATATGCATCACCCGACATATGCGCATGAACCTTCAAACCCTAAACCCTAAACCCTGAACCCTGAACCCTAAACCCTAAACCCTAAACCAACCCCTACGAACAGGCGCGCTGCGGCGGCTTCGAGGACTTGTCTCGCTGGCTGCAAGGCCTGGAGCATGAGAGCCCTGGAGAAAAAGATGCGTGCCCGCGCCCTCTTGGCTCGTGCCGAACTTCTATGGTTTAATTAGGGTTTAGGGTTTAGGGTTTAGGGTTTAGGGCTTAGGGTTTAGGGTTTAGGGTTTAGGGGGCCTAAAAAACCACATGAACATAAGGATTGTACAAACAGGGGGTGTTCCAGAATCCCCCTCATAGGGGCCCTTATACCCCAATACTAGGATCCTTAAGTGTTTCGTGTGATTTTTTTGGGCCCCTAGAGTCATCCCGTGGGCCTATTTTGCTGCCGGTCTCGTTCACCTCGCATGGTGCATGGCACGGTGCTTTCCGCGTGCACTCTGAGGCATCAGGTGACCTACAGCATGCTGTCTCCACCACGTCCTGACGTCACTGGGCAAAGACTCCATGGGTGACACATTCTACTCGCGGTAGCAGCACTGTGGGTGCCCGCGGCTACCGGCAGCTCCTCTGCCTACCCACTACCCACACAGGCTGCCGGCGGCTTGTGGTGCGTTTGCGTATAGCTTCATGCCACGTAGCCGACATAGCCGGTGTGAGCAGTGCCCCCACACGAGGTACATGGGGCTTCCTGGTCCTCCGAGTACTTGGAGCACTCTGGCCTGCGGCTGATACGCTTTTGGAAGCAGCTCTCACGCGTGCTTGCTGTTGAACTCGTGATTTGTATTGTGCTCAGGCGGCCGGTGCCATAGAGACTCATCGACTCGATTCCCATAAGGCTGCCTGGCCACCCACAGCACCCTCCTTCAGCACGTTTCTGGCTTCCTCCTTCCCTCTGAAACTTATCTTATGCTTTCTCTTTCCGTCGGTCGACATCTTCTCGTGCTTTGGGTCCGCCACACCGTAAGACGTGTCTCCTTTGGTGAAGCAAAACTGTGCAGCTGCGCCTCATGCAGGAGGCAACGACAGCTCTGACCGTCGGGCGGCAGATGGCGGCAGGTCTGGGGCCAATGAGCACAAAAAGGGATCACATGAGATGGCAAATGCTTTGCTTAAGGATTTTTGGGGGGCCGGGAGGGCATTTCTATCAACTTGACTCACATGAAATGTATGTGTGTATATATGTATACAGAAGCTTGTATTTATGTATGTATATATGTATATGTATATATATATATATATATGTATATATATATATATATATATATATATATATTTGTTTGAAATGATATATGATCAGGGGTGCCGGTTGGTGTCCCGAGGCAATCCACTACGCTTCAAGGCAACGCGAGGGGCTCGCCTGTGGATCGCTGGAGAGCGCGACGCTGAACTTAAGTGGTCCCAAGCAGAGGCGGAGCCGGCCTGCAACCTGACCTCGTGAGGTGCAGACTGCGCAGAGCGCGGCGAACTTGAAATGAGGCACGGCGGGGGGAGGGGGGGGGGGGGGGCAGCACAGTGCCGTTGCTTCGTGTGCCAACGTAGATTTCGGTCAATGAGGCCGATGGCACACCCATGGGGCGAAAGACGCGCACGAGCGCCGGGCTGCGAAAAGTCAAAATCGATTGCCTCTCCTCATCATCCAGCATGGCGCCAACGCGCTGTCTCACACACGTGCCTCAATGACGGTGTGCTCCCAATCCCGAGGGAAGCGACGCTCTTGAACAGACCGCACCGTGGCTGGGACTGGAAGAGCTACGGGTCCCGTTCTCATGTCTCGTGCCGTGCCCATCTGCACTCTTGCAATGCCTCGCTGTGCCGTGCCGCACCAACAAAAGGTCTGCACTGCGTCTTTTGCAAGCGAAGCCCTCCAATGCGGCGCCTTTCCTTGCGCGGACCCCGGCTAAGATGAGCTACATCGGGAACTTCTGCTCTCGCAGAGATCCGTTACACCTTGACTTGCCAGCGTGTCGTTGGGAGGCGAACCACTCGCAGGAAATCCTCGAGCGGAGCAGTACCGGCCCCATCGGCTTCTTGGCTTTTGCAGCGTTCCCCGCGCCCTGCTGTTCCCTGAAGTGAAATTGGCTGTGCCGCAGCGTTCTTGGCCCGACGGGGTTTAGGGCCGATCGCTTTGACACCTCGAAACCTGGTAGCCGAGCTTTTAGCCCGGCCCAGCTGTGCGAGGATGGAGGCGCGGTCAGCAATGTGCATACCGTGTTATGCACAAGAAACTTGGAAACATCTGTGCGAACTTCTCGCGCATGACGAAGGTGAGCGCTGACGAGGCTTTCATGCGGTGCCTCTTGAAGAGTGTCTACAGGGCAAAGCTCGGGACTTCACCCTCTTGCATTGGCCATAGTCGCGGCTAGGCCACGCCCACCGGAGATGCCGTGCTGGCAGAGGTCGTTGAGTTTCTATTCGTCTGCAGTTGGGAATGTTCCAATGCCGGTGGTCCAGGATGCTGACAGCTTCCTGCTCATGACATCGGGAGAGCGCCAGTCTCAGAGGGACGGCATCTTTCAATGCACAGAGACCCGATCGATTTTTCTCTTTCTCTTAATGCTTAATAACTTAATAGCCCTTACAAGTCCAGGTTCTGCGATGGAACGGCGCGGAGCCGGGCCACTCGGAGAGGCCGCAGACTTCGAGAGTTTTGAATCTTCAAGTAGCCATGCAGGCAGCATGTTAAAGACCAGATGTCTCGAGAGTAAGAGAGCTTGATTCTGATTGCTTGTGAGAACCGCTGCGTGCGCCACTTGTGGGAATCTCAGTTCGCTGGGCATCTAGTCTACACTAAGCAGCTGTTATGAGCACGTCGAGATGTTTGGATTGAAACATTGCCCAGGAGGACTTGGAAGTGGCCTGCTGAGTTGTCTTTACCACAGAAAGCAAACTGCCCGCGTCCGCATGGGTCGTTCTCTGAAATACGGTCCCTTTTGGGGCCTGTACTACAAGGCGGCCCCTCTTATCAAGGGGACCCCAAAAGGGACCATAACTTAGAGAACTGACCACATAGCACCATGTGGCAGATGCCAGGGCCATGCAGGGAACGATGTTAAGTTGATCCGATGCCCCAGTTTTTGGGCATCTTTATTTTCCCGCGGGTTGCCCAAGACAAGGTCAACAAAGGGTTTACATCGAGTTGTTGGGGTTAATCTAGGGTTCATATAGGGTTCATATGGGGTTCATAAGGTTCATTTCGGCTTTAGTGTTTCGAAAAGGGTTTAGCTTAGCTGGAGATCAGGTCTGGGAGAGGGAGGAGGAGGCCGAGTACCGCAGAGTCTCCCGGGCCTACCATCGGGTGCCTGGCGCCGAGGCCGGCGAGTGAAATTCGATCAGACAATATACATACTGCGTGAGATCTAGAAATTTTATAAAATATTACAAAACTAACACTGTAGTTTTGCAGAACTGTCTGCTTTTCTTTATCAGTATTGGGCGGAGGGGATGGCTGAGTTTTCTGGGATCTTCTGCGATAGTCTTGCACGCAGGTGCGGCGACTGCTGAGCCAGGTTCCGCCAGGAGAGCCCCCCCCCCCATGCCCCCATGGCGAGCGCCTCACGCAGCTCGAGAGCCGCCGAGGACTCCGCGGCCGGTACGGCGCGCGACTGGGCAAGGGGCCCGGACAGGAATGTCAGGCTGGCAAGCCTCGCAGATGTGTTCGTAAGTGGCAGCTGAGGCGCCGAGACGCGGCGGCCTCAAAATGTATACATTTAAATATGTATATGTATATGTATACATATATATATATATATCTATCTATATATCTATATAATGACATGTTTTGTATAAATAAATATAAATAAATAAGTAAATAAAAATACATATATATATATATTATTATTATTATTGTTATTATTATTATTATTATTATTATATATATACATACGCGCACATTTTTCTGGGTGCCAGCTTCCTGGGAACCGTGGCTTTCTAAGGCAGCGGCGCAGAGAGAGCGAAGGCGCCACTTGCCAGGCGCGGATGCATGAGTTGCAGAAAAGCAGGCTTGTCAGCTGTTCTTTCTCGATTGCTGGTACATGCACATGAAAAAAAGCCAGGTACATGTTGTGTGTTTGTACATGCATATATATATATTTATATATATATATATACATACATAATGTACATACATATACACACGTGCACGTGGTTACGTATGTCATTTGCGTGCCCGGATTGCATCGCTTCTAGAGGCCTCGTGGCAGGTCCAGAAGAAAGGGTTTAGGGTTTGGAGTTTAGGGTTCAGGGTTTAATAAGGATTTAGGGTTTAGGGTTGAGGGTTTAGGGTTTAGGGTTTAGGGTTTAGGGTTTAGGGTTTAGGGTTTAGGGTTTAGGGTTTAGGGTTTAGGGGCCTTCTACCCAGCGAAACCGTTGAAAGAGGTGGCATGAAACACTTGGACTTGCTGCCGCCCCTCAAAAACGGTCCTTCGACCAAGCCGAAGTCTTTCTAGCCACCGGCTTTCGAGTAGATTCTGGAGTAGCCTTGAGTTGCTGGGCCTTTTCTTATAGAAGTATGTGGGTTGCACCCGGTCGGCTTTATTGGGTCACCGGGCCTTGAGTGGGTTTCAGAGGTCTTGAGTCGGTACGTTTGTCTGAAAACCTGAGGAAACCCGAAAAGATTGAATTCCAAACCGTTGCAAGAATCTGAAATAGTCGCAACCATGTTGCAATGCTGAGTCTTACAATTCGCCGGAGCGAGCTGGAAGAGTCTTTTTCAGGCATGCGGCCCTGGTGTGCGGAGGCCTCTTGCAGAGTGACGTCACCCGCTTCGTCATGCCAGATGATGCCTGTGGTTTCTGGACACGACTCCAGTGAGACTCTGTCTCTCTCTCTCACCTGTTGACAGGTGCCTACTCCTAGCTGCAACTTGGCTTGCGTTGCTGCGCAATGAATGCACAAGTACCGTTGGACCATCGTACGCTGGCCCCAGGTGGTCTTTGCACTAGCTCGAGCGCCGGCGTGGCTCTTGGTATATTGTACCCTTGCACCGGGCTGCCTGGCTACGCAACATGAGAGCGAGGCACCGCGCGAAGCATTTCTGGCAGCATCCGTGGCTGCTTTACTTCCGCGCCTCGGGCGAGCTTTCGAGGGCGCATGAGGGCGCGGCAGGTACAATTCTTTAGCAGCCTTGTCCACGGTACATGACTCTTTATGGGGCGCATCTTACATAAGGTCGAGGTGCGCATGCTCTTATTTCACTTTCGCCACTGTTGCCAGGGAGGCTATCACGCCGGCTGTTGCTCCGGTAGTGACGGCCTCCATCTCCCCTGTGCCCTCGGATAAGATCCGCACACAGAACGTGACAGACGTTCCAGGGGAAGACTCCCACTCAGCGACAGCGGTGGCTTAAGCGTTTCGAGCAAATCCAGTTCTGAAGCTGCTACGAAGTATTTTGTTTAGCATGAAGCCGGACTTTTGAGGCCTGTGCCGATGCGATTGCGCGCCGGGCTCTCGGATGTCAAGGCGAGCCTCAGAATACCTCACCATGGAAGGCAATCGCATGCGAGGTGCAGAGGATGAGGCGATCTCTCTTGAAGTTCTTTCCCGTCGGAGCCACAAAGAGGGGAGCGCGTTGAATAGCTTGTTGGTGTCGGCCAAAAGGGTTTGCAAGAGCCCAAAAGTCGCCACAAACCAAGGACGGGACATCCTGTTCAACCGGCGCGTTTCATTCATATTTCTTGAGTGCTGTGCTTGTGGCTCGCATAGCTCGCCTGTCAGGGGCTACAACCAGATGCTTGTCGCCATCCATGAGCCTTGCCTTCTCGAACGGGAAAGGGAGAGAAGTGGCGCTAGTGGTATGTGCATATGATATGTTATCTATCCATATCTAGACCTAGATCTATATCTAGGTCTATATCTATATCTATATCTATATCTATGTCTATATCTTTTTCTATATCTATATCTATTATATCCATATCTGTATCTATATCTATATCCATATCTATATCTATATATATATATCTCTATATATATATGTATATATATATATATATGTAAATGTACCATGCCTCTCTACGTATGTGTATATATATATATACATTTGTATACATATGCACATACATATACAATTACATTTACATATATATATATAAGTATATCTACATATTTCTGTTTTTCTATTAGATCTATATGTATTGGACATATGGCTTGGGGCGCATCGAGTCTCAGGACTGGACGTCCAACATGAGACGAACACCAGTCCTCCCCTCATCATGGCGCATATGCGATGCACTCATTTTCGAGGGAGCCTCTGAAGCGAATGTTTGTGTTGCCATTTCCACCGGGTGACCGGATGCAATCGAATGCAATTGAATGCAAACATGCTGGTGCATCTCAACTTGTGCTTTCGTAGCCTGAGAGCAAAGATAGAGCAAAGCAACCAAGGTATAAGCTGCAGTTCTGCATGTGTCGGAGACGCACGCACGTACCTACCCACCCGCCCATCCACCCACCCACGCCCATACCCACCGCACACCCACACACCCACAAATCCGCACACCCCCACACCCACACACCCACCCACCCTCCCACGCCCACCCACCCACCACACACCCACACACCCACACACATACACACCCACACGCCCACACACACACACTCACACCTACGCGCGCACACAAACACACACAGAGACCCACACCAAACACACAACACACACAACACACACACGCACACAACACACACAACACACACAACATCACACAACACACACAACACACACAACACACACACGCACACAACACACACAACACACACAACATCACACAACACACACAACACACACAACACACACACACAACACACACAACACACACACACACACACAACACACACACACACAACATCACACAACACACACAACATCACACAACACACACGCACACAACACACACACACACACAACACACACAACATCACACAGCACACGCAACACACACAACACACACAACATCACACAGCACACACAACACACACACACACAACACACACACACACACAACACACACACAACACACACAACACACACACACACCACACACAACACACACACACAACACACAACACACACAACACACACAACACACACCACACACAACACACACAACACACACAACACACACAACACACACAACACACACAACACACACAACACACACAACACACACACACACACACACACACACACACAACACACACAACACACACAACACACACAACACACACAACACACACAACACACACAACACACACAACACACACAACACACACAACACACAACACACACAACACACACAACACACACAACACACACAACACACACAACACACACAACACACACAACACACACAACACACACAACACACACAACACACACAACACACACAACACACACAACACACACAGCACACACAGCACACACAGCACACACAGCACACACAGCACACACAGCACACACAGCACACACAGCACACACAGCACACACAGCACACACAACACACACAGCACACACAGCACACACAGCACACACAGCACACACAGCACACACAGCACACACAGCACACACAGCACACACAGCACACACAGCACACACAGCACACACAGCACACACAGCACACAGCAGCACACAGCACACACAGCACACACAGCACACACACAGCACGCACAGCACGCACAGCACGCACAGCACGCACAGCACGCACAGCACGCACAGCACACCCACACAGCACGCACACAGCACACACACAGCACACACACAGCACACACACAGCACACACACACCGCACACACACACCACACCACAGCACCCACACAGCACCCACACAGCACGCACACAGCACGCACACAGCGCACACACAGCGCACCACACAGCACACACGCACACACAGCGCACACACAGCGCACACACAGCGCACACAGCGCGCACACAGCGCGCACACAGCGCACACAGCGCACACAGCGCACACAGCGCACACAGCGCACACAGCGCACACAGCGCACACAGCGCACACAGCGCACACAGCGCACACACAGCACACACAGCACACACAGCACACACAGCACACACACCACAACACACCACACACACCACACACAACCAACACACACACACACACACACACACACACACACACACACACACACACGCAGACCCACACGTACTCAGTCCCACACGCACACGGCCACACGCACACGGCCACACGCACGCACACGGCCACACGCACGCACACGGCCACACGCACGCACACGGCCACACGCACGCACACGGCCACACGCACACGCGCGCACGCTCGCACGCGCCCACGTGCCCACGCGCGTACACCCCCCATGCGCGTACGCCCCCACGCGCCCACACGCCCACACACGCGCCCATGCACGCGCCCACGCGCCAATGCACGCGCCCACGCGCCCATGCACCTACGCGCCCATGCACGCGCCAACGCGCCCACCCGCACCCACCCCCATGCACGCGACCGCGCTCACCACACGCACCAATACCTTGTTTGCGTGCATCATGCATGTGTGGTAGAAATCTCCGCGCATTCGTTCGAGGGCCCAAATCTTGGGATTTCCAATGTCGCGGAGTGCTTGGCGGCCGAGTGCGACAGGACCATACCCCTGGATGATGCACTGACGTTTCTTGAATGTGGTCCTCATTGCGCCTTCTCGCATCAAATGCATCTCGGCAGGTACCTGGCTTTGGTAACGAAGCTCGGGCAGCCCAGCGTGCGCAAAGCAATATGTAGCATGCTGTTGGCGTTCATTCTCGGATGGCCTATCACTAAATACGCAGAATGACACAGCCTCCTTGATGTGTGGGGCTTGTGCATGATCAAGTTCACTTGGTGCGCCCTGCCTTCTTGTGGGAGGGAGCATATAGGCCTTGGGGGGGGGGGGATGCCAAGCAAACTGAGCCGTTGCTGCGGGGCCCAAAGCCCAAACCCACAGCCCAAGGGCCCAAGGGCCCAAGGGCCCTTGGAAAGTTCACAGATTGATGTAAACTTCAGAACGAGCTGGTGATAGACCTTCCTGCGGCACAACCTTGTGACAACAAGCCTGTCACACAGTCCGGAACAGTCAACCCTCCCCCCTTCCCGCCTCTTCCCCACGAAAACTCTGCGGGCGTCGAGGTTGCGAGCGGCGCTGCTCACTTCCCACGCGCGTGCTTTGCTCAGTCATCGTGTCATCGTCACCGTCTGCGTGCGCCGATGGGCTTTCCAAGGCGCGGCTCGTGCGCGGGGCCGTCTGGCGGTGGAGAGGCGGTGAAACCAAAGCACAGGAGTTCGCTCTGGCCTTTATTGTGCTGCACTTGCTATACCGAAATCACTGTGCAGGTACCAAGCTGTCCTGCATAAGTCACGACACGTCTCTTAAAAATGGGCCAACGTGGTCAAACGCAATATGCTTGAGCAAAGAATACACTACACGTGAGCAATCTTACCACTAGACGCACGAGCTTCAAGGAGATGGGCTCGCATCTTCGCTCCCCTATCAGCCCCATGTGTGTATTGCTCTGGGCAGGCAAACCAGGCTGACGTTGGATCAAAGCTGAGGAGGATGGCCCTTTCAAAGGTTCAACATGCATCCTGCACTTCAATTCGTCTGCTTCCGCAGGTGAGGCACTGAGGCACCTAGGTGAACGCGTAAGAGCGGCAATGTGTTCAGAGTACAGTCACCCAACAATCGTCAAATCCACCCCCTAACAACTCCTTAAACTCTGAGGCCCCTAAGAAAAGCTGTACAGACCTTTTGAAAACCCTCGTTAGCACTCAAGAAGCCCCCCCCAAAACCCCCTTTTCTTGTTCAAACTCCGCAAGCTCGGGCCTCGCCACGATGTGATCGGGAAGCTGTTGGTCCTGCACTCCGCACAGCTCAGGAATGTGGGTTTCCAACATGAGGGGCACCTTGTTGAGGTCCTTATTAGCAGGGGATCCTACTACTTGGGGGACCTATGAGGGGGTTTTGGAGTTTCGTAAACGCCCAAATGTGTCCACCTGTTCCCAGCAAAGTGGGGCTGCTAACTTCAGCGGCTCTGTTTGGCTCGGTAGGGTCTACTGTAGGAATTCCTAGATAAGTTCGTTCCTGCAAGGGACGCCCTGAGCCACTGGCCCGACGAATTGGAGTGCACTTAATTGGCTCGCTTTTGTTCCCTTCAGAGGGAGACAAAGAAGGAGCGAGAGGGGACAAAAAGAGCTTGGAATGAGCAGCCATGATTTCATACCTCAAGCTATACGAACCCCTCCTCCCGCCCCCAAAAAGTACATGTACATACATATACATACATATGTATATATCTATATATAAATATATGCATATGTATGCATATGTATGTGGGTGTGCCCCCGCTCCCTCCCCCCCCCCCTAGAACCCCATGATGGCCGCTAAGATGCGCTGGAGGTGCGTTCCCGGAGTGCAGCGGAGTCGGCGTGCAGCTTTCTCCTGGGCCCGGATCCTCGGGCCCCCCATGTTAGGGTTTAGGGTTCAGGGTTAAGGGGGGGGAAGGAGGGGGGGGGGGGGGGTATGTTCCAAATTGGGAGACCCTCTATCATTCAGCTTCTTCAAAAAGAAAGCATCCCCCCCCCCCAAAAAAAAAGGCAAATACAAAAATCAAGAAAGAAAGAGGGTGAACCTAGCTCAAACCCAGAGTTTTAACCCTATGAAACCCTAAACCCTCATCCGACTTATATGGTATGTGGATGTGGTTCAGTTCTTTGCAAAGCGGAGCACTGCCATCGCCTTCTCGCATTTTCTGCTGACTCAGTGGCACTCTTGACTTCGTTTTGCCCCCATCGTGCCCTGCCGTGCATCCGAGAGTGGTCAGCTTATCAGCTATAGGCGGGTGGTAAGAAAGAAGCGGCCCCAAGCCCCTATTCAACCCATGGGCCCAATTAATTAAACCCGATTAAATCCTATTCAGCCCTATTAGACCGTATTAATTAAACTATGTCAATCCCTATCAAGGCCCTAAACCGGGTTCTTTCGCCTCCTTCCAGGCGCTGCACCCGCCTGGTGTTCGAGGCCCGGCCTCGGGCCAAAAACGCTTTTATAGGGCCGATGGATCGCGTGAGACTCAAGAGTCCGCAAGCGCTTGTGTACGGGTTTAGGGAGCTTAGGGTTGAGAACATATGGTTGAAGGTTCAAGATGGCTTTAAGAATCTGTAGGTCTTCAGGTGCAAGAAGGATGAAAGTGCAGGGCGCGTCCCCTGTTTGAGCATGGCCGACTTGTCCAGTGCTGCAATGCAGGTGTGCGGTATCCCCTGCAAGCACGAGAAGTTCGCGCAGGCCATGGCTTGATCCGCCAGAACAATATGGCAGGTTGTTCTGGTGTCCCTTGTTGGGGGGAGACATCTGCCACGAATGCACCACGTAGTATGCGGAGCAACCCGAAGCCCTAAACCCAAAGCAGAAGGACTGAAGCTCTTAAACTTCACCCCAAAGCCCTACGCCTATAACCTTCAACCCCAAGCAAAAGAAACTCTCTACAACCCTCTCTGTGCAGGTTGGAATTGCCAGAGTCGGGGCTGACGAGGCTGAGCAGCAAAACACGCAAGCCCACAGATGCGGTTCTGGGGTAGGTTTAGGGTTTAAGGTTGTAGGGTTTAGGGTTTAGGGGAAGGGTTGTAGGGTGCAGGGTATTGACCGGGCTGAACATTTTTGGGAGTTCCCTGTTGTAGAGGCAAGTTTGACTGTGGAATCCGATATGCACGAGATGCATGAGCAATCATGGTTAGGGCACCGCAACGGTACAGTAGCACACGGTGTCTCTAATGCAGCCACCCAGTCATCATCTCCAGTTATGGCGTCGCACCCTTTTGGTTTTGGCCTCTTGCACATGGTGCGTCGTACCTAGGCAGATGCTCTGGAAGGCGTCGCGGATGAGTCCAAGCTTTCTGCGGGGAGCTTGGAAGAGTGAAGCAGTGCTGCAAGGTAGAAGGCAAAATGTTTCCGTGGTCACCATGGCGATAGGGTTTAGGGTTTAGGGCATGAACAGTTCGAAAAGGTAGTCTTGTACAGCAGAGTTTCAGATGCCGTCGATCGGCGAATGCGTGCTCTTGGATGGCAGTGAAGCTGCTTATATCGAGTGGCACCAACTCCGGGCGAAGTGGCAAGCCTGTTGCAAAAAGGGCTCAAGAAAGGCAGGCAGGCAAAAGGCGACGTTCTGCAGGTGTTCACGCCACTTCTCGACTCCGTTTGCTTCACCTCCTGCGGCGACATCCAGGCACCGCGTCTGTGACATGTCAAGAACAACCAGCACGAAGAAGGATATTCATGAATCATGACAACCATGCCATTCATACTCAGAAGTAACCCTCCTTATCCTGCTATATATGGACTGAAATCTCGTGAAAAAAAGATAAAGCTTGCTCTGCAACGACCGTCAGGCGACGATGCCCATCGAGGTCGCCATCTCCTGTTTGACAAAAGCGCTTAAGACGAGTTGCAGATGTGGGGTATGTTCCAAAAGTGGGTCCCCCATAATACAATCCGCCCTATGCTATAATCCTTATTTTATGTTTCGAAACCCCCCCCCCCCTGTAGAGATCGCGAGGTGGCGTCTCCGGGTGACCACCACCTGTGCCACCGCACAAGCCCCCTGCACGCAGAGAAGAAGTGATGAAGATTCCTTGGACTTCATGATGGTTTGTTGGGTTTAGGGTTTAGGGTTTAGGGTTTAGGGTTTAGGGTTTAGGGTTTAGGGTTTAGGGTTTAGGGTTTAGGGTTTAGGGTTTAGGGTTTAGGGTTTAGGGTTTGGGCTTGCTCAATAGGAGTGAGTTCTGTTTGTGTCCGGCCCTCAGATACAGCTTTGAGGTTTGGGCTTCGCTGGCAGTCCTCAAGTCCGGTTTCAAAGGGTTTAGGGTTTAGGGTTAATGCGGTTATGTCATGGTTTTTGTTTTCCAGTACTCCTTGCCATGAGATGATGCGACTGCTGCGCGATTGAGGCGACTGGTGGAGTGGAGGCCCCGAGTGGGACCTAAAGGGCCGCGCTCTGCGAGCCTATCTTGAGGCGGGCGCTGGTACAGGGTTTAGGGTTTGGGGTTAAGGGTTGAGGGAGGGTATTGGTATATGGTCCCTGAAAGAGGGGCCGTTACTTGGGGAAACCGTACATGCCCTACAAAGCCCAAAGACCCAGACTTCAGAACCCTTCACAACGAAGGTAAGGGACCACATAGAACTTCCCTTAGAGGTTAAAGGTTCAGGGTTCTGAGCATCGTCGTCCCTGTTTTGGCGAGTGTTGGGTTCGCTAAACATATTGGCATCATAATGGGCAGTGTGGGGGCTCCAAATGGGGCCTTCTTTTAAAGAGCTACCCGCGTTGGTCCTTGATGGTTTCGTCTCCCGACACCCAAAACAGCGATAGGGCCAGGGGAAACCAAAAACAGTCTTTCGAAGCCAGCATGAACGCCTCTCCGCTCGGGTCTTCAGAGGCTTAGCTTTAAGTTTGGCTCTGAGGCTTTTCTTGCTTCGCATTTCCTTAAGACATCACGCCCGATGCGCTGAACCCACTATAGTCACCATACACCCTGAACCTTCTGAGTGGCTGGTCGGCTTCCCTAAACCCTAAACCCTAAACCCTAAACCCTAAACCCTAAACCCTAAACCCTAAACCCTAAACCCTAAACCCTAAACCCTAAACCCTAAACCCTAAACCCTAAACCCTAAACCCTAAACCCTAAACCCTAAACCCTAAACCTGTCTCCTCAGAGGTGGACCTGGTGCGTGGCGATCTCTCCTTCAGACTCGAGAGCTGGACCGAGGACCCTCTGAGCGAAGTACATGGGAGCTTACAAAAAAAGGGGGCCCCTTACAATGGGGGCCCCCAAATAGTCTTAGGGTTTAGGGTTTAGGGTTTAGGGTTTAGGGTTTAGGGTTTAGGGTTTAGGGTTTAGGGTTTAGGGTTTAGGGTTTAGGGTTTAGGGTCCCTTGTAATTCGGGTCCCCTACAATGGGCCCCCCCCCAAAATAGTAGGATTCCCTTATAATCAGGAACCCAAGAACACAAGGGACCCCTCATAATGGACCCCCAAAATAGTAGGATTCCCTTATAATAAGGAACCCAACAAGGTACCCCTAATTTCGGAAACCCCCGAATCGGTTTTGGGTTTGTAGCGTTTGTAGGATTGTAGAGTTTAAAGGGCTTATTGGGCTTAGGGCTTCTGGCTTGTGGTGACTACATGGACTTCATAGTATATATTCAAGAATGCCCAAAATCAGAGCTCCACTACCCTGCTTAGGGTGCCTGGTTCCTTGCTTCCCATGACAGACCCGGAGAGGAGCCAATTGTGGTCAGCTGCCCCGACCTCCTGACCGAGAGCCCAAGGCCCTTGCGCCCTGCTCGCCCGCTGCGCCGCTCATGGCCACACAGGTTCTTTCACAATCGCAACACAAATAGCAGTAATAACAGCACTATAAAGTCATCGCAGCAGTACAGTGTTTTTGTTGTAGTAAAATACCAAGATTCCTCGGATTCGTGCAGCCAGGCCCTGGACCCCACTGGTGTCCATCTCGCAAGGCCACGAAGCCAGGACCGATGGGAGGGTGACATGGCGCGACGCGCTGTGCAGTGCGTTCAAGTTAGAGGCGAAGCTGTTTCTTCGGTCTGAGCGGAGGATTTGTGATCTCCACCTCGTGTGCAGCAGCTAGCTTCGGAGCTTCGGCTACTGACTCCGATTCCTCACCTCAAACTTGCTCGGCAGAACACCTGCCAGAGAGATCAGAAAAGACTTGGGTGGGGCGCTCTTCCGATACAAGGCACGTTGCGTGTCTAGCCCAGGGGCCTTCCCAAACGCTGGACGCAACTCTGAGCCCGGAAAGTCTGCTAAATTTTGAAATCTTGAGAATTCCTGAAGCTGCGTGCTTAACTTCCCTGCAAGACGCCGAAGTGCAGCATGGCTGATAGGATGAAAGCCCGAGTCCGCCGCGTCTCAGCCTGCGCAGCGGCTCCCACAGCTCGTCAGCTCGTCCATTTCCCGCCGTCTTCGGCTTCCAGCATGGAGGCCTGCACCCGATCAGTCACCCTATAGGGCATGTGCACCACTCCTCAGATCTCCTCAGCAAAAACCCAATGGCAGGCATGTCGGCCGTGTGGCGCTTCGGCATTGCCAAGGCCGTATGTTGACGTTCAGCACCATCTTCAGACAATCTTCATGGGCTCGCCCCAGCTTTGCATGATAGAGAGCTTCTTGCGAGCGTAGGAATCTTCAGATATTCATGGTTGGCTTGTTCCAACTTTGCAGTTTTCACTGCACAGCGACTATACAGCTTGCAGCATTCCAGGACGGCACCCTGCGGCAGCGCCGCCGGGGCAAGCTGCCGCTCGAATTCGCATGAGGGAGGCACGGCGCTGAATCAAAAGCCGCCCTTACAGACTCTACGTAGACTCTGTAGACCCTACGGTAGACTATCGTCTTGCTAGACCTGTCTGATGCCACCTCAACTGTCTAGCCAGGACGCGGCCGTGCAGCGCTCTTTGTTCCAGAAGGCCATTCTAGGCCCGATGCCCGGGGACTTGTGAGTGGTACTTGCGCAGCTGGCGGAAGCGGCAGAGCACGTACCGGTAGTTTTGTTTGGGGAGGCCTGCGATCCAAAAAGCGCGAGGAGGCCAAGCGGGAGGTCTGACAATAAGCGGCTTTAGAGCTCACACCCGACCGGTGTAGTGGGTCGTGGCGCTTGTACTTTTTGCCTGCGCGTTTCCTGTGCTTTTCGTTTGTATTTGCGGCGCTTTTGCCTCTCCATACAGCACACCACGCCAGGATGTTTGGTGAACGTGCCCAGAACATGGTATTTTCTCTGCGCTACATACTTTGCAAGGACGTTTGGCGTCTTCAGACAGTCTTCATGTTGTTTGTGTGCACCACATACTGCGAAGGGATGTTTGGCGTTTCTGGAGCCAAACATATGACACCTGCCCAAAAACGCAAACAGCAGTGAAACCCCAAAGCCCTGAATGAAAAATGTAGTTTCCGAAGACCTCAATGCGTGCATTTGACAAAGTTGCTACGCCGTTACGCCATCCGACCATTTCACGCCAGAAACAGAGCAGGAGAAATAAGGCGCCAGAATTTGGTAGTGACTTGTATTGATTGGGCTGTTTGAAATCATGGCAAAGCATTGGAAAGCAGCACTTGAGCAGGCGTTCCCGACGCTCTTGCATGGACAGGCACGGCCAGATAGTAGTATGTCTTTTTCGATTCAGGGACGTCGAGGGTTACAGGGTTGCAGTTGCAGATCTTGGCAATTGGTATGCTGTGGGTAGACATGTGGAGCATGTTTTGCGATGCAAGCCACGATCTTCATGCACTTGTTCCGCTTCTTGAGCCAAAGCTAAAAAGAACAAGCGCAGAGTGGCGAGAGAGCTGCTTAGCGAGTTTAGCTGGACAGCTTCGTCTGTGCACAGTTTAACTGGACGCATCAGGTCGACTACGAAGCTGAGTACGTCCTCGCAGCTGTGAACCATGCCCAAGCCTGCATAATTGGAGGCGCCGCCGTCTCCATTTGCGGGCTTGGCATGGTTGTCTCACAGGTCGGCGCCTTTCAATGCTCCGGCGGAGGCACGGCGCTTTTGGCCAAGGCCATTAGCCTGGCCCGGGAGCTCGGCGCCACCTTTTTCAGCCCTAGAGCCCCTCGACAACAACGCCCTTGTATTTTGGGCTCGGGCGGGCTTTCGCCCACTGGCCTGGAGCCATGTGGTGGACGCGGATGCCACGCAAGAACTGACCACTGCGCTGGATCTTGACGATGCGTGGGCGCTGGATCTATGAGGCAAAAATCAGTGGAAAGGAAGCTCCCAACAGTTTAGACGAATGTGACACAAGTGCTTCTGGCCCGAGCCACATGTGACATTCAGCGCGTGTTAGGGCACTGCAGGTGATGCTCTCAGATCTGGTGTCATCCTGCACATCCTCTATTGGTGTACCTTGTTGCGTCAGCCCGTCCAGTTAAACTTGGAGTGAGTTCGAGCTCTAATTACGCCCAAAACATCCAAAAACTGTGAAGCTCCAGCTGGTGTGGAGAGTGGCGTAGGTAACAAGCGTTCCATCGATCAGTGGGCCGTGTGCGACGTGCCTCTGCGTCCACTCACCCATTGGCTCCCAGAGTGCAGACTGTCTGAACTAACCAGTGCTGCTATGGTATGTGTGTATGTGTGTATGTGTGTATATATGTATATGCGTGCATGCACGCATGCATGTATGTATGTATGTCTCTGTGTGTCTCTCTGTGTCTGTGTGTGTGTGACTTCACGGGGTTCGAAGGCTGCGTACACCAAGCTCGTTGCTGGGACATTTGGGCTTTCCGGCACAGTCTAGTCCTAAAGGGCGTGCTTCTACGTTGTGACGCGCCGCCTTTTTTTGAATCTCAAGCCAGCGACGAGATTGCTGACAACACCAGCCCCGCTCACAAAACAGCAAGCTTACCATCCCAACAAACCCACGTGGTCTTGGCAACTCGAAGCTTCCGAAAGACGCAACACCACTGACTCAAAGATTTCGATTCTGCAGACACTGCTCTAGGGGGCTTACCTTTCGTGTCAGACATGTCGGCTGCGTGGCGCCCTGCTGGAGGCACTCCCTTGCACTTCCATTCCGCGTGCATCCTATAAGCCGTAAACAATGCGAATTGACCTTCAGATTGCAGAGCCCTCGCAATCCCTGCGCAGATAGGCAAGTTTGTGTTTCTCACGCAGCCCGTGCAAGATGGTATAGCCCTGGGCGATCCAGACTTTATTTCAAAAGGTTTCCCAAGTAGGGCCGAAAAGAAAGGCACAGGGGAGCGCGGCAGGCTCTCTGTTGATCGATGTCAAGGGCCAAGGGTTAGTTGGTTTCCGAACTAAAATACGGAACCAAGAGTGGTCATATAACGGGGCCATGTCGGGAGTTGCGGTCCTAGCAAGCGCCTAAGCCCAACACCCCAACTCCTAACCCCTCAACTCCAATTCAATGCAAAAAAAGGGCGGGGGAGGTAGGGTAGGGTAGTCGGGGGCAGGGTCTGGCCGGCTTTCAGGGAAGGGTTGGCAGAGGTCGCAGAGCCATGGATGCCAGAGCAGGCTTCATCCAGCACGGCGCTGTGCCTAACACCGTCCGCCAAACAGCTCCACTTGCTCCTTGCAACATAGTACGCTCCTTGAAGACTCTTTAGCGTTGAGGGTTTATAAGGTTTAGGGCTTATAGGGTTTAGGGTTGAAAGGCAGTGGAAGTAGGCGAGGCGGCGGGCTGGGCGTACGACAGAGACAGAGCCTTCACGGATGCCGAACCCGTCGATGATCGGCCAATCAGCAAGCCCTAAGCTCCTAAACTCCACTCCGAAGCTTCTTTTAGCGGCAAACCCTGAAACCCACAAGCTTCTAAACGTCGAAATCCCCCCCCCCCACCACCAAAGCAAAAACACTGAACTCCTAAACTCCAAACCTTCAAGCCTCTAAACCTTCAACCCCTGGACCCTAAACCTCCAAACCCTACACGGCGAGGCCGACGCCCCAAAGGCGAAGCCCAAGGTCCGTCCGAAGGGATGGCCCAACAAGCGCCCCGAGAAGGGGTTTCGGGTTACTTGCAGTTTTGTTCTTGTGTTTTTAGGGGTTTCGGGCTTTGGGTTGGGGCTTCGGGGGTTTGGGGGTTACGGGATGCATGTGGATCGGGGATTTTTTGGGGCGTGAAGGGTCTTGGTAGAGGATTCAGGGTGGGGTTAGGGGCTTTGGGTGATTCAGCTGTGGTGAGTTGGATTTTGGAATGTTTCCGTTCAGGGTAGGTTTCTTTTTCACTATGTAAGCATAGTGAGCAAAACATGGGAGTCTTTTCGGGTTGCAGGAGAGCAATCCTCCACAACAAGCCATTTTGGTTTAGGGTTCAGGATTTAGGGCCTAGCGTTCATCAAGTTTTCTATTTAGTTACAACCTAAACCCTAATTCTAGGTACCTGGTACACGAATTCCCGAATATGACATAGGACCAACATCATCCCGAGGTCAAGTGTGCCTATGAGGGGGTAATCGTATACGGTTTAGGGTACTTGAATCCTGGTGGATAGGAACCCCCAAAGAGGGCCTTGTGTTTCGGAAGCCTGGCTGACAGGCTGAACGCTGCAAAGGATGACGGCATGGCCGAGGGCATCGGGCGTGTGCGGGGAACTTACATGGGTGGCACGCTTCATGCATGTTTCGTCACGTTTCAAGAAGACCACGCAAGCTACAGCCTTGGCACAGATCGCGGCTACACGAGAGAAGCCAAGGCTGGACTTGGTGAGCCCTTTGGTGCCACCGTCGGGAGAACACCATCGATGGCAGGGGCCTCGTCTGTGCCACCTGGCCCACCCCCCCGGCAAATTCCACAAGTGCTGTGCATCATGCCTGTGATACAACGAACTCTGATCACTTGGCAAAACGCAGGAGATCGCAGGCAGACAGTCTCTTCCACTACTCCAACCTCTCAACGGCTCCTTGGACTTTACCGTTTCTGCAGTCTGACTCTCCCGCACACTTGCATCTCGCGCCAGACGTTGTTCTCCTTCTCCTCGATCTTTTCGTGTGTTTATGGATATGTATCTTGTTATTCTCCTAGACTGTGTTCGCCCTGCCAACAAGTCCTTGTTTAGCCTGCTGGCACGTTGAGCCGGCTGCTCAGTGCAGAGATCTCGTGCTACAAGTAATCGTGCTGAAGACACACGCACCTCTGCTCACAGCACTACTGCTGTGGAGAGAAACGGCGCAGCTTCCGGATGAAAGCTTATGCTCGAGGACGCCCCTAAGGCAGTTTCTGTCCTAAAGCATGGCCGAGGTTGAGCCACCCTCCTGTGATGTCGTTGACTCTGAGGCCCTCGAGGCTCCACAGGCTGCACACGCTTCGGAGGACGGCGCCAGCAAAGCGGTGAAGCAGGAAATTGAAAGCTCCTTCTCCACTTCGTTGCTGAATCTCTGCAAGAACATCATTGGTGCGGGTTTGCTGACGTTGCCAGTTGCAGTTCGGGATGCCGGAATGATCCCCTACCTTGTTAGCATCACGTTGTTGGGGGTGCTGAATGCCTTCACGTTCTTCCTGTTGGGCTGGTGCAGCGCAGTCGTCGGAGCTAGCACCTTTGCGGAGCTTTGTGTCAAGTCGTTTAGTCCCAGGGTTGCTTGGGTGGCGAACCTCGCAGTTCTCCTGGACAACAGCATGTGCTGCCTGGCAAACTGTGTCCTCATCGGGGACTTCTTCTCCAAGGCTTTGTCGGGTTTGCTGCCAAGTTGCGTCATCCTCCACGGCCGAGCAGAGAACCTGTGCATCATTGGCGCTCTGCTGCTAGTGCCATTGTCCTTGGTGACGAACTTGGCACTTCTTCGATACGCATCTCTGGCAGGCCTGGGGGCTACGGCCTACGTCTTTGCGCTGCTGCTTAAGGATTTCGTAACCTTGTCAGACTGGTCCACCTCTGGCCCACTGCTGAACAACGTTACCCCACTGCGGCCGGACTTCTTCAAGACAATGGCACTTCTTGGAAGCGCCTTCATGGCCCACTACAACGCACCGAAGTATTACGCTCAGCTACAAGACCGGTCAGTTCAGAAGTTCAAGATGCTGGTTTGCTTGGCTTACGGCCTCGCTTGGCTTGTCTTCACGGCCTTCGGCATATTTGGCTTTGCACTCTTTGGCTTCGCTGCGGAGGGCAACGTCTTGAAGAACTACAGCTTCACCCCCGAGGTGTTGGTGGCTTGGCTGAGCATGGGCCTCTCTGTTGTCTGCACGTATCCCTTGGTCTTTGGCAGCTTTCGGGACTCTTCCGGCTTGCTCCTGCGCAAGTTCTTCGACGTGTCCTTGGCCTCCATCCAGTTTCGTCTAGTTTTTACATGCCTCGGCGTGGCCTTCACCGTCCTGGGCGGCGTTGCCTTCAGTGACGTGGCGCTGGTCAATGAGCTGAGAGGCGCCATCCTCAGCCCGTGCCTGGCCTTCATCTACCCAGCTGCGATGCTTCTCAGGACCCGAAGCAAGCGCATCGATGGCACGGCCCTTCCCTCACTTCCCTCCCATACTCTCAGCTTGTGCCTTTGGCGCCTTTGCTGCTACAGCCTCTTAGCCTTCGGCATTGTATTCGGGGCCATGGCTTTGCTGGTAATGTTTATGTCCAAAACGGACTTCTCTGTGCTCACAGCGGCCTATCCGTCGCACAGAACGGGAAGTTGGTGCTACGCCTGCACTTGAGTCGTGCGCACCACCTGATGCCCGGCTTTTTGCACAGCATACAACATGCACCCTGCACGTCTTCACAGAAGGACTGGCTTTAACTTTAGAAGCTTGCCCTTGCAAATTTGTACAGAATTGTCTGAGTACATCCTCGATTCCGGATTGGGATTGAGGTCGCACGGGCTTTGTGCCGCCTTCAACGTAGGAGTTGGCTTCTTTTGCTTGGCATTATATAGGTAAATGTGAAGTTTGGGCTTCAAGGCTTGTCGTGTTTACGCATCAATACATGTAGTTATAGTTAGTACGTATCGATATGGACGTGTGTGCGCACGAGTACTGGAGCAGATGCCAAAAGTGAAGATCTGGTGATTGTTGGGCAGCGAGAGAAACTCTACTCATGTACCTAAACAGCACTCTTCACCCTGTCAAAAGGGGCGGCTCAAACAGACTGAGAGGAGATGACAAAGGCACTTTGCGGCGTTGAGGAAGTTGACGCCATCTGGGTTCCATGTGCACAGGAAGATGGGCTTTGAAGGCTCAGATTCGGTCTTGCATTCATATCACTCGCTCCAGCCAAAGGTTGACACAGATCAAGTTGCCGAGTGGTAGCTGCTGTTTGTGACCCGAGGCTAGGTGCAAGAAAGGTTCGCCAAAGAGCTTGGCAGACAGATTTCGACAGCCTTTGCAGAGCACCTCTTGACGTGAGACTACTGTGGTGAGATAGTCGCTCTCCTAAACCCTAAACCGTAAACCCCAAACCCCAAACCCTAAACCCTAAACGTTGCAGTTTGCGTGGAGCTGGGCGGAGATAGAAAACAACTTCAACCCATGATGCTCCAGGCTTGAGCCTGGCCATCCCCCCCATGGCTCATAACGCTACAAGTTTAACGCTACAAGCAAAATTCTAGAGCAAGTCTGCTGCTGAGATCTGCCATCGGCGCCAGGGGCGTGGAAAGCGGCAGCACCGCTTGGGGTGAGCTGCACCCTCAGGGTTTTTTGTTTCAGTAGACATGTTGTTTCGACGCAGTGGCCGCAATTGTTGAAGCAATCTCAAGATGGAGCATCGCCAGCACCACACGTCATCATCTTGCGGTATCACGCTGTGCCTTGTATCCTAGGCTTGTTTGGTGTCCATGTGTTCCATGGCTGCCATAACATGACTTGGGATCTGGTCCAAGTGTTGCTTCTCACATTAAAATTAGCAAAGTCAAACATTGGCATCTCCAGTGGCGAAGATTCAAACTAGGGCAAAGAGATTACGCAGCACCCTAAGCCCTTGAACTGGGCTCAACAGACCGCGGGACCAGGCCAGCACCATGGCTGATGACTGCGGCGTCACCTGCCAGGTGTGGAGGTCACAGTCATGTTGGTGTCAGAGTAGCCTTGCTCTTTTGCTTAGGTGCCCTTGCTGAGGATCTGTTTTGCGGCAAAGCCTCCTAAATTTTTCGTTTGGGCGCTAAGCCCTCCACCCCTCATCTCGAGCTTCGCCTGTTTGGATGTTGCTTGTGTTACCCCGATGATCGTCGATGCTTATGCCTCTTGCTGCTGCAACATGTTTTCAATGCATCTTGCCGTCCTGAACCCTAAATACTCTTGCTTAGGCTTATACCCCAGGATGCGCCCGAGAATCCCGGGATGGCCTGGATGTTGGGCGTCCGGGCTGGAGGGAGGAAGGTTTAGGAATGCATTGTTTTCAGAGTTGCAGTGTCAGATTACTTCCCGTGCCTCCACCCACGCAGTTTGTACGTCTGGAATCAGGGCCACATCCAGGCTCTTCAGGGTTTGGGTCTAGGGTCCAGACCCTTTGCTGTGTACCGAGGCCTCCCTGTAAAAAAAGTTGAAGAGTCTGTGGCGCGTGTCCGGCAGCTTGGGGGCAGGCACAGGCGTTTGTAGGGTGTGGAAGTCAAAGGGACGGCTACTCCACCAACCTTTTGCTATTTCTTGGAAACCCTAAACCCTAGAAACCTCAAACCCTTGAGAGTGATTGACTAAACCCTAGATTTTGGTGTGCGCAGCGCGGGTGGCACAAAAAAAACACCTATTCCAGGTACCTGGTACACGAATTTTCTTGTCAAGCGTGCCTATCTGGGGGGGTAATCTCCTCAAGGTAGGAGGTACCCCTTCTACGGTCTTAGGGTACCCCCGCACTTGAATCCTCGTGGATAGGAACCCGCAAGAGGGCCTTGTGTTTCGGAAGCCTCCCCCTGATTCTGCACCGCCAAAAGCCCAAAAGCAAGTTGAGCAGGTGGAGCAGGCCGGCAGTCTGGTGACGGTGTGTTTGGAGGTCCCTGGGCCAGCGCAGAGGGTGAATCCGAGCTGCAGCCCACCGCCAATGTGGAATAAGGTTTCTTCAGATGGTTCACTGCTGAGGCGTACAGGCAGCGTCATGCCGTGGTAGAGTATGCGCATCGGCATTCTGAAGGGGGATCGTCCCGTGCCAGGGGGAGGGTTTTGCGTGGTATGTTTCTGCTTGCCCTTCAATCTGGTCCAGACCCCCTCCCCATTACAATCACAGGCCATGGCTTGACTCGAGAGAACGACTCGCGTATGCTGCAACATATGTGCAAGTCGGGGCGTCGTGGTGCTTCAGAACGATGCAGGCTGACAGGCTGAACGCTGAAAAGGATGATGGCATGGCCAAGGAGCATGCAGGCGTCGGGCATGTGCCGAGAACTTGCATGGGTGGCATGGTTCATGCATGTTTCGTCAAGTTGCAAGAAGACCACGCAAGCTACAGCCTTGGTACAGGCCGTGGCTACACGAGAGATGCGCCGCGAGCTGCTTGAGGTGCGGCAAGCAGGGTCGGCTGTGTTGTAAGTTTGTAAGCAAGTGTCCTAGCTGCTTTTGGTATAGCCTTAAGGCAGCTGGGAGCAGAGAGTAGCATGTCAAAGCTTAAGAAGCATATCAGCCTTGAGGTGTGCAGATGTCTACCTTAAGTCTGTATGTGGGGGAAGAAATTCTTGACAGCCCACGATGCCACCATCCTAACATTTATTATGTAGCTTTTTCCATGCTGTCAACTCCTTGGAAACTCGACGTCTTTGCCTTTTGCCTTAGCGCGAGTGGTGTGCATGTACAGAACATAGCCCTACGCATGCGTTGTACGGGAAGAGCGCCCGCAAAGACTTGGGAAGGAGGGACGCGTACTCCGGCTCAAGCAGCCCGAACCCTGTAGCTTGCGTTGCGCCGCTTTGGCGTCGTCTGCTGCGTAGACCCGGAGCCATGAGTCTGAAGCGGCGTGCAGTTTTGCACGGGTTTACCGGCAGCCTGGGCATCGCAAAGCAACAGAGCTCGCAAGCACTTTTCAGGCAAGGTGCAACCAAGAGGAGCCTTTGAACACCGCAAAAGAATGAGGAGTGTAGAGCTTCAAGTAAGGACTGTCCTTTCACAAGGCGGAGACAGGCGGAAGCCTTTGACACAGCAATCGAATGAGGAGTGTGAGAGCTTGAATTCAGGACTCAGCCTTTGCGCAGGCTTGCCAAAACCAAAGAGGAAGCCTTTGACACAGCAAAGAATGAGGAACGTGTGAGAGCTTGAATTCAGGACTCAGCCTTTCGCAAAGGTGCAACCAAGCGGAAGCCTTTGAACCGTACGAAGGAGCAGTGTAGATTCACTTCAGGGCTCGTCCTTTCGCAAGGCACGACCAAGGGGAGGGAGAAGCCTCTTGACACCGTAAAGAATGAGGAGAGCGGAGCTTCATGCAGGCCGATGACTTCCCCGATACTGACCACACACAGGCTTACGTGTGAACTCAGAAACCGCTTTGGGATGACAGCGTTGAAGGAAGAATTGGCTGACGACCAGTCACTGGGTGACGCAGCCAGGGCGTCGAGCCAGAAAAAAGTAAGGAAAAAGGATCTACAGGCAGCAGACATCATCGAACGAATCAAATCTGGATACTTCGAGAACTCTTGCAGACAAGATGTTACACAAGGTCGGCATCCAGGACTCAGACGGCTCGGATGCCACCCAGGGGGAAAGGTCATGATGCGGCATAGGAGAGGCGTTGTGGGGTAAATGGGGCGCACGTATGTGTTTTTGTTGTCTAGTGTTTTTGGTTTGGTTTTGGTCTGGTCTCGTGAAATGGGAAATTGAACGAAGGAGGAACTCGACAGCAACTACTACGCTACTGAATTGCCGCATAAACAGCGAGAGAAACATGTGACGATCAGGCCGAAAGAAAATATGTGTATGTACTGGGCCGGGATAAGGCATTTCCCCCCAAATCCGCCAGAATCGCACCCTCCTAAAAGCGCTATCTGGCACGAGGCATGTGGAGCAGGAAGCTTACATTCAGGGGGTGGTCTTGGTCTGGCCCTCCGAAAAGAAAGAAAGGTAAAGCAAAAAAACAACGGCTCCTAAACGACAGGCCCTGTGAAGCCCAAGCCCAAAACCCTAGTCAGTTCTGCGGTGGTATAAAACTGCCCTGAACAGGAAGACTTAAACAAGGAAAAGAAGTGGTGGAAACAAAAACCCCAAATCAGAAGCACGAGCTTGTAAACGTTGTGTCCTCTGGCTGTACCACTGGTGTGCCCTGACAATCGACCCCACACGATGCCGCTCCGATGCCCACGATACCAGCGGAGCCGAAAAACATTTCCTCTCAGTTCATTGTTTTTTCCATTTTATAAGCAGATTGATTGACGAACAGCCACAGAAGATAGGTGAGTTTTGCTTTGCTTTAGCAAGGGAAAACCGGTCCAACGCAATGGTGGAGTGTGGAGTGTGGAGGGTGATTGTGCGTGCGCGGTGTGTTTAATTCATATTGGGATTTCGTGGTCCTCGGCTTGGCCCCTCAAGTTGCTTATACAAACCATGTGGCCTCAAGCAGGTCGCGCGCTCGGGGTCTAGGTTTTCGGGGGACTGGGGGTAAGGGATTGGTAGGATGAGGTCACCGGGAAACCTTGTCCACAAAGAGGCTGGAACTCGCCGATCTCGTCCTCACAAGGGAGGGCGTTTGGGGGCTGTTTGGACTTCGCTCGGGGTCTGCATTTCAAGGCTCGGGGCTGGACATCTAA